GAGAGAGAGAGAGATAGATAGATAAAGAGCGTAATGAGTTGTTGCGGTTTAGACAACAGAAAAGCAGAGAAAATATAAACGCGTGGCAGAAACGGCGCAAAAGACGGTGTTCGGCGAAGAATTTGGAGTTCTGCGAAGAACCGCTATTTAGGCAAAGAGAAACGAAGCGAGACGAATGCCGTCGAAGTTTGCCAGCGCCGTTGCTGCGTTTGTCAACAAGGTGTGCACCTGTGTACCAGGATGCTCTATGTGGCGAAAGGGGGAGTTGCCGGCGACACACGTCGGTGCATCAAAAGCACCATCAAAGCAACAGGAAAAAAAAAATAAGCGAGAGGAGAGGCGAGAAACGGATTATGTGGTCTCGACAGCAACCGGAAAAGATTGTTATGGTCAGCAGGTAGAACGCATTGAGTGTTGGTCCCACGCGCATGGGGCAGGTACGGACAGGATGCGACAGCACCTTCCTTTTACGCCGTCTCTAGTGACGCTTTTGCTTTGGGCACTTTTGGCTCTTTTATTGACGTTTTTTCTTCGTTTTAAGCATACGCCGATTTTCTTTCGATTCTCTTCGCCTTTCTTGCTTGGCGCGTGGCAGCGAGAACGCTGCGGTGTCTCCCTCTCCACGTTGGGGCTCCTCAAGCTCCCACACCGATCAAAACGGGAAAAGCCGCTGCGTGTTTTGCAGCACGATATCAGCCAGCTCCTCGATGCTCTTCACCTCATCCTTGCGGAGCTCGTACACCACCTCCAGCACCTGCGCCGTCGCACACGGCTCGTTGCGGCTCTTCACCATGCACCCCTCCTTGTACTTGTCCTTGCGGCATAAAGGAAAGGAGGAAAGGATGGCATCGGAAAGACTTTGCTGCGACGCCGACGCGGCGGCGGCGTTGCTCAAGACCTTCTTCGACGCGTGCGTGTTCTTCATCTCGCACCACGGCGCGTCTGTCTCGAGCAGCAACCGGTTCAGAGGCATCGCCTTCACCACGGCGACGTTGGCATCCGTCTTAAGACTACAGCCGTTGATGCCGATAAAGAGACCCTCCGCAACGTATTGTTGTAGCTCCTCTGCCGTACCGGTGAAGCTGTGTACGACGCCGCCCGTCAAGTCCGCCAAGTGCGGCCGCAGCAGCTCTAAGAAATCGCCTTCGGTGTGGCGGTCGTGCAGGAACAAGGGCAGCCGGTGTCGCTGTGCCATCTCCAGCTGTGCCGTGAAGTACCGCCGCTGCGTGTCCTTCTCACAGAAAAAGAGACGGTCGTAGTCGAGGCCGATTTCGCCGACGGCGGCCACGCAGCCACCGGCGCGGACGGAGTGCTGATGGATTAAGTCGTCCAGAGCAGCGAGGTAGCCCGTAGGGTCCTTCTCGAACTCCGTGCAACGCGTTGGGTGGCAGCCCACGGTGCAGTAGAGGGTCAGGTCCGCACTGGTGTACTCGCGGCACATCTCGATCACCGCACGGCTCTCCTTCAGATTGCCGCCTGTGAGGAGGACGCCGTGGACGCCGACATCGACGGCGCGTTGGAGCACCGCCTCGATATCGGGCTGGTGTTGGTGGTGGCCGTTGTAGGAGCCCTGGAACATCTTGTCCGTGAGGTTGAGGCCGATGTCCACTAAGCGCCACTGCGCGCAACACGGAGGAAGTTTGGACATGGCAGCCAAAGAAAGAAAAACGGCAACGACCACGTAGAAAGAAACGTGATGTGGAGCGCAGCCGAATAGCTCCACGACCCAGAAGTTGTCGTCGCGTTGCTTCTTCACTCGCCGTGCACACCAAGGGAAAACAAACGTGCGTGTGCGTTAGCGCTTTCGGCCAACTCCGCAAACGACAAGTCACGCAGGCGAACGGAGAGAGGAGACAGGCGGAAAAGAAAAGCTTCCAGAAAAAAAAGGGAAGGGAAAGGGACGACGTACAACGCTTAATGAAACACAGGTGCGGGTGCGTGTACACCCGAACGCCTCTCGCCGCGTCAGCTCGAAGCACTACGAGATCATAAAGAAGAAGAGCAGGCGAATTCAACTGCTGCTGCTTCCTCCTGTTGGCCTTCGCTGCCGACCAGCGCAATCGCAGCAAATGTAGTCGCGGTTACGCAGACATAGAACCTTCTTTCCGGCGGCCCTCTCCTTTCATTCCTACTTTTACTAGGATACCTTCTGCGTGCGTCATACCTGAATGAACCCAGAACAAAATCGCGTGACATTCAAAACAAAAAGACTCGCAAAGCGAAAACGTCACGAAGCCACCAAATAAAAATTGAAAATCCAATGAACCTGTAAAAAGGAAAGGGAAGGGAGTGATGAGAGTTGCACATGCTAAGTGGACATGGAAGGGTAAACAAAGGGGGTTTATAATAATAATAATTGAAAATGGAGATATCGGCCGCAGAAGGGCGGTTGACGAGCGCCCGCGTGCACATGAGAGGCCCACGAAGGGAAAAATATATATACACGAAAGAAAAAAGCACACAAATCAGAATGCTGTCGAGAACAACCCACGACACCTAAATACATGCACAAAGACACGGCGAGAAAACTAATTTGATAACAATTATCTTTTTAATCTAAAGAGAGGAAGAAACGACATGGAAAAACAGAACAGTAGAGACATGGCACAGGTCTGCGGCGACACGGATGATCCGTCTCGCGAGTCACTACGAAAGAGGGAGAGAAATATATAAAAAAGAAAACGGCAACGGGTGACACTCAACGCAACTGTTGGTGTGTACGCAGAAAGCCAAGGACGACGAAGAAAACAAACACAAAAAACAGTCGATACATGGAGCAAACAAATAACTGAATAGCGAACGAAGTAAATAAATTTATACTGCGCGCCGCGTCACGCAGAGAAGACGTCGCAGAAAGATTGAAAAATAGAATCACTTCAACATTAAAAAAAGGGGGAACGGAAACGTGCGCACACCCACGCGCACAGCCCAAACCTGAAGACCGGACCGCTGCACGACCACGCAGAGTGCTTCCAATAAGACACTACCGAGAACGCACGAAAACCGGATAAAGACGATACTTCACGGCGATTCAGAGGAAGAGGACGCCCACGATGTCTGATCGTTGAACGCAGCGTCATCAGAGTTGGATGTTTTCTTGCTATTGAGAGACAGGGCATCCTCTAGGGTGTTGCGGAAGGCGGTGGCCTCTTCCAACTCACCGCTGATCCGCAGGAAGACCTGTTCAATTGACGTCTGCGACACGCTGTAGTCGATGATGTGCAGGAGCGTCTTATTTGCCTGCAGCAAGCGGAACACATCCGACAGGGTCACATCGGCCGGCAGGGTATAGACGAAGCGCCGCCCTTTGTATTCGTTCAGCGTCGCGGCCGGGAAGTGCTGCTTCACCCACACGTGCAACTCCTCCATGTCGTCCTCCGTCTCCACCCGAATGCTCATTTCAAAGCCCGTGCCGAACTTGTTCTTCAGGTGCGTCTTGTCGCCTATGCAGCGCAGGGTGCCATCGACCATGATGGCGACGCGGTGGGCGAGTGCCTCCACCTCCTCCAGGTGGTGCGTCGTCAGCACGACGGAGCTGTTGTCCGCCACCTTCTCAATCGCATTCCACAGGCCACGCCGCGCCACCGGGTCCATGCCGGCAGACGGCTCGTCGAGGAAGACCACGCTCGGCCCGCCAATCAAGGACAGGGCGACCGAGAGCTTGCGCCGGTTGCCGCCGGACAGCTGCGCCGACAGCGTCTTGCGGTACACCGACAGCTCGCACATGCGCAGGAGGGCATCTACGACGCCGTCGCGCTCCGCGTAGCTGATCCCACGCACACCGGAGTAGAGATACATGTGCTCCTCTACCGTCAGCAGGTCCAGCGTGGCGTCGAACTGCGGGCAGTAGCCAATGCACTGCAGCGCCTCCGCACTGTTCTCGAGGAGGTTGTAGCCGCAGATGTAGGCCACGCCGCTCGTCGCTATGAACTCCTGACACAAGATAGATATCGTCGTCGTCTTGCCAGCGCCATTCGTGCCGAGGAAGCCGAAGACCTCGCCGGGCCGCACGGAGAAGGTCAGGTTACGGACAGCCTCCTTGCCGTTTGCGTACACCTTGCGCAGGTCCACCACGCGCACCATGTCGTCGTTCACGCCCTTCTCCTCCTGCTCGTAGACACTTTGACGGACCTCCTCCACGTCCGAGTCCTCGTCGCTCACCTCCTGCGGCTCGGCATCCGCGTCGTAGCTGTGCTTCTGACCCCACATGCGTCGGCGTGGGTGGTCAATGAAGAGGGTAATCGCAAAGAACAAGGGGAACTCGATCGCCATGTAGAAGTCCGCCCACCCCGTCGTTTCCATCGACCACGGCGTCAGCTTGTCGTCGACCAGGCGCTTCTGCGTCAGCATCGCCATGTTGATGATGCCCTCTCCAATCGCGAAGCTGGGGACAATGCGGGTAATCCACTTGAGAATCTCCGCCACCTGCTGCGTCTGCGAGAGAAGGGACATGATGTAGACGATCATGACGAGCAGGAAGCCAACGACGAAGCTGACGGCCATCACGATGGTCTGCGCGTTGGAGTGCTCCTCGAAGAAGAAGCTGCACATGTACCCCGTTGTGGTGCTCGAGAGACCGTAGATGAAGAAGAGCACAAAAATGGCGCCGATCCGGTCATTGGCGATGTATTCGCTGCGGTTGAAGCAGGCAAAGATGACGAGCACCAGACACATAGTAAGGACGTAGGCAGCTATGTCGAAGAGGAAGTTCGTGAGCCAGTAGACGTAGAAGCTGAGTCCAGAGACGTTCTGCAGGTGCCGCGCCTTGCACTCCCGCTCCTTCACCACCCACGCGACAACGTTCGACGGCAGGAAGGTAAAAGGAATCATAATGATGGCGCCCATCAGAATCGTCTTGATGGCGTCCTGCGACACTCGCTCGTTGACTGTTCGTGGCATCGTGCCCGCCCGCAGCGTAAACTGCCGCCTCCTGTTTGTGTGCTTCTCCAGCAGCGACTGGTACACCGCGTTCATCGAGATGGGGCCCTGGTGGTAGGTGGAGGAGTTGATGATGTGCATGACGTTGTTGCGGAGCCACATTACCTTGCTCCACTCGGGGTCATTGCACACCACCCCCTCCACACGCGTCATCGGTTGCACCAGGAAAGAGTCCACCATGTACATGGAGAGGTTTCGCCCCGTCTGGAAGTTGTAGTGGCGGACGGCAAAGTCGTCGAAGCTAGCGTTGACGCCGAGCAGCTCGTTGCAGCCGTTCATGTCTACCGCAACGCTGTCTGGGTAGAGCGCGTGGTTCAGCGTGATCGTCTCCGGCCCGTCCATCGAAATCAGAGACAGCAGCATTGAAATCAAGATGCAAATAACCGGGCACACAATCTGGAAGAACTGCATCTTGCGGTCTCGCATCCCGTTCCACAGCCGCTTCGACATCATCGCCTTGAACTGCGACCACAGCATCGCCTTGCGCCCTTCAACAATTTCGCAGTTCCAGATCAGGTCCTCCTGTTTCGCGATGATGCGGGGATCTTGCTGCATCAGTGGGTCGTCCTTGCGGTCGCGGTCGATGTCCTCCTGCGACACGCTGAGAAAGATCTCCTCGAGCGTCGTGGCCGAGAGCGAGTAGCCGCGCACGCCCAGTTTTTCCTGTGCCGCCTCAAGACGATCCAGAAAGGCGGGGAACTGTTCGACGGCGTTGTTCGGCAGCCGGTACATCGCCTCGCATCCGTTCACACCCATCTCGAGAGCACCGTCGACGGAGGCCTTCACGAGCCTCGTGAGTTTGCGCACCCGTGCATCGTCGCGGAGGGACATGGTGATGCTGTAGCCCACGCCCAAGTTGCTCTTCAGAAACATGCTGCTACCCGAGCACTTAAGGCAGCCTTGGCTCATGATGCCGATCTTATGGCCCAGCAAGTCCGCCTCGTCCATGTAGTGCGTCGTCAGGAGAATGGTGTGGTGAGCGGACATGCGGCGCAGTAGCTCCCACGTGTAGCGCCGCGCACCGACATCCATGCCAGCCGTCGGCTCGTCGAGAAAGATCAGACGACTGCAGGTGACAAAGGCAATGGAGACAGAAAGCTTGCGCTTCTGGCCGCCGGAGAGGCTCTTCGCCGGTTGATCCACCTTCTCCAGCAAATCCGTCTCGAACAGCATGCGGCACACGGCGTCCTCCAGCTCCCACCCCTTCAGCCCCTTGATGCGTCCGTAGAACTCCAGATGCTCGCGGCACGTCAGCTCCGACCACAGGATGTTGTGCTGCGGGCAGTAACCGATCTGCTGACGCACCTTGTCGAGCTCCGTGCGCACAGAGTGCCCGTAGATGTAGCAGTCGCCCTCGTCCGGCTCGGCCATCCCCGTCATCATGTTCAGCACCGTCGTCTTGCCGGCGCCGTTGTGGCCCAGCAGCACGGAGATCTCGCCCTCCTGCATCCCCCAGTACAGGTTGTTCACCGCCACAAACTTCTTTCCGGCGCGGGAGTAGACCTTGCGCAGGCCGTCGAACGACACGACGTCGTCCGCGTAGTCCGTCGTCTCGAACACGCCGTTCTCCGCACGGCCGTCGGGGCCGCCCTCCAGCCGCTTGTGCTTGCGCTGGAAGCACCAGTCGATGGGGTCCAGAATGAAGAACAGCGGGTGCTTCGGCGTGCCCCACTCCTTCGGCATCACGTTGTCGAGGTAGAGCATCAGCAAATTGAAAAAGACGAAGTCCACTGACATCATAATGACGGCGAGATACACCGGCGGGGTGTCAAGTGGGTACTGCCAGTCTTGTTTTGAAAAGCCACCAGCGATTTCATGATTGATGATGCCGAGCATCGCCACGGCGTACGCGGTAGGTGGAAAGATGCAGAAGACGGTGACGATGGCCGTGTTGGCGCTCTGAATGGCGAAGGCCGGCATGGCGAAGACGAAGTAAATCAGCGGCGTCAGCAGGGAGGCGAGACGCGCCTTGTTGAAGAAGGCAGAGTAGAAGCCTGCCAGCGGTACACACGTCGCGATGTAAAGGAAGTAAATGAGAAACAAGATGAGCACGTTCGTGATCGTGATGTACGTCAGGCGAATCACAATGAGGGAGATGACCGACGTGATGAAGTTCGGCAAAAAGAACGTGATGTACCAGGAAATGTATATCGGTGCGTTGCCGAGGCCCATGATGTGCATCGCCTCCCGAATGCGTAGCTCCTTCTCCAGCACAATGCGCTTCGTGAACTGTGACACGGGGTAGAGGTACGCCATGACGAAAATAAGGGGCAGCAGAATGCCGGCCGTCGACAGCAGCGGTTGGGTGATGTACGGAACGTAGCCGGCGCTGCCCATAAAGTGGTCCACCGGCAGGTCCGTCACCACGTTGCCGCCGTCCGCCACGTTGGTCAGGTAGTGCTCCGTGATGAGCTGCTGCAGCGAGAGGTAGCCGGCCGTGGCGTAGAGGTCGGCGCGGCTGTCGTAGTAGCCGCCGCCGTAGCTTTTGTCGTAGGGCAGCTGAAAGGTGGGCAGTGCGGTGGAGTTCATGCGGATGTTCACGTCGAAGTTGTCCGCATCGAAAGCGTTCAGTTCAATGATAGCCCAATTCCACGCCATCGCCCGCACTCGGGCCTCCGCCTCGGCTGCCGTGGCGAAAGTGCCGCCGTAGACGTCGTTGAAGAGGAGGGAGTTGTTGCGAATGAAGTCTAGCAGCGGGTTCACCGCGGCCGGCGTGCCGACGAAGTACAAATCGCCAAAGCAGTTGATGGAGGACTGCTTCGAGTTGGGCAGCAGGCCCGCCGAGATGCCCGCCGCGAGCAGACTGCCCGTAGTCGACTGCTTCTGTGACATGCCGAGGCGCGCCAGCCAGTGAAAGACGATGACCTCGTCCAGCGTCGGCACGACCCACAGCGAGGCGTTGTACGCGTTAATCCACAGCTGCACCGGGACGTTGGCCCCTGTAATGTTGCCAATCGAGTAGCCGGCCATGCTGTACTTGCTAAAGTCGAAGTCTATCTTGACGTAGCAGAGGCTCTTGTACGGAAGGGATGAGTGGTCCCCGCTGCACTCGATGTTGACGAAGCGGACGATCATGTTGCAGTCACACAAACCCGGGATGGGTGGACCGAGTGACTTGTTGTAGCACGTCATCTGCTTGTACAGCGTCGCGTAGGCGTTCACGCCGGGCACGTTGGAGATAAACTGCCGAGACCCACCCATGAACGGCAGCCACACAGCCCAGAGGATAAGCGTGATGACGATAAACATGAAGGGCAGCAGTACCTCGGTGATAATAATGGACTTGGTGCGCCAGGTCTGCTGGAAGGTGCGATACAATATGGCGAAGATCTGGTCGAAGAAGTTGCCGCCCGTGGCAAAGCGGCGGCCGCCGTAGCTCTCCTCGCTGCCGCTGGAGGAGCTGCGCGAGCCCTCATCGGAAGTGCGACGTCCCATATTTGCGCTTCACTTCAGGAATAACAACAGCAATAATAACAATAATAATAATGTGCGGAGGGGAATGGAAGGGGAGGAGGAAGAGGCCGCTGTTGCACCGCAGGACGCAACCCAAATGAGAGCCGAAAACAAAAAGAAACAGCAGCGACTGACTGATGTCGTCGATGAAAAGAAATACGAAGAAGAAAATAAAGAGACAATTCGATTCCTTTTCCCCCTCTTGGGAGATACTAGTGGGCAGCTGCAACGACAGACGGTGCCGATGCGCACGCGAACCCTCTACAAGGGGAGAAAGAATAGAAAGAAGGTGGAGGGAGTCTTTTGGACTCCTGCAGTCTTGATAGGCGAAGAGGAAATAAAACTCACTACCAAGCAAAGAGGCTTTGCACACACACACACACACACACAGAGACAGACAGACAAACAGAGAAACAGACAGACAGAGAAACAGACAGACAGAGAAACAGACAGACAGACCAGAAAGAAGAAGTAAAAGGTCGCGACCCGGCAGGAAGAGTAAGAGATAGGCAGAACGATCAGCCCCGACCGCGTTGCCAGGAGCAAAGGAGTGCCGAACGAATGTGGAGTTAAAGGAAAAAATAATAATAATAGCAATTAAAAAGAAAAAGATATATGGTAAGTTTAACACTTTTCTTTTATTGGGAAAAATATCACGAGTAAAGTAAAGGTGAACGTAAGAACCTAATAACTGCACGCAGCACAGACGGTATACATAGAGGTGGAAGAAAAGCCACGTTGTTGGGTTGGCGAGGCCCCGTTGCGTCCCTGCTAAAGAGATGGTGGAGAGCACCACACAGCCGATGAAGGAAGAGCTCAACTGCGTTTTGCAGATTCCGTCTTGACAACGTCGAAGTGATACGCACAGGCAAAGTCAATCCCGCCTACGCGGAAGTGTGTAAGGGCTGTTCAATAAAATTAAAGCAGAGAGCCTCCACCACGTCCGGAGAAAGTTTTCTGAAACTACTGGAAGCGGATGTACAGCGGCAGATGGGCGAAGAAAGGAGAGAAACGGAGGAGGAAGTGAAGTGGAGATCCATTTTCTTTTCCTTATTTCTTTCCAATGCTGCAACTGACGATGTTGCGACACGGGAGCATTGCGCAATCAACGCTTGCTTGAAAGCCGGCGGTGCAGCAAGCAAAGGGCGCACGTCCAATGGCACGGCGCAAATCAACGTGTCAGGGGTTAATATACATATATATATATCGAATGAGAGACATGGATTGCTAGCAACCGCGACGGCACCGCTAGAGTCACAGCGTTGGGGAGAAGGTCCTACAGGAAGGCCTCCGTTACTGCTGTTGCTATCGCGACTTCTTTCCTTTCTTTGTTGTAGTTACAATATTTCATTTCACCTCCATAGGAGGCAGTAGAGAGCGAAGACAAACACGCGAAAACAGAAAGATACATTTTTTTCCCCGTCGTTAACGCTGAAAGAGACAGCAAACCACCAAACAAAGAACACACACGGAGTAGGAAGGGGGAGGGGGGAAGGGAAGCCGAAAAAATTTGGAAAGGTCATATGTCCGTTTGTATATGTATATTTGTTTCTCTTCCGTGACGCTACGGAGTAAAAACGGCGTGCATCAGACGGAGAACAGACAACGGAGGAAACAGAAAAAGGAGGCATGCAGACCGAACACACCACTGCCTCTGTAACACCCGAACAGACAACGATTGACATACGAAGGTTTAAGCCACAAGGGAAAAGAAATCGAAGATACAGATCACGACAGCGACCCGAGACAGGGCGGGAATGGAGGCCCTCCCGCAACAATGACAGAGGACGAAGGGGAACAAAGCGGTCGCCGCAATTGGGAAAACATCGAAGAAAAAGGCATTCATGGAGGTCGGCGTGGCTTCACCACGGCCGCTCTCCAAATGAGACCACCGGAGATCGCTCACTCAAAATGAACGTCAAACCACCACAAGCGGGAACACCAACAGACAAGAAAATAAGGCACGAAAAGAAAATATATATATATACCAGAAACGAAGCACAACGGTGCACATGAGCTCAACGAACAATCGAAGAAAGAAGAAGGAAAAAAAAGGACGCGTACGCTGTTCTCCTTCCTGGAAAGGAAACAGAGTGCGGCATTTTCGCCTTGTGGAGCGCTACACACACGGAGGAACACAAAGGGATTTAGTTTTCACAACGAAGGAGAAGAGGGAAAAATAATAAATAGGCACATACATACGTCAATGGAAGAACATGTTTGCCACCAAACGCAACCACACATACACGGAATCAAGGAAGGAGAGGGGCGGAAACGGAGTTTCTACTTTTTTGAAAGCGCTCAAAGGCAAAAACGAAAATAAGAGCGCCACGCTATGATCGATCTCGCGCCAGAGAGAAAAGAAAATGAAATCTGAAAGCGCCGGAAGACGCGGGCCAGCACAAGGTAAGTACGTTGGAAGAAAAAAAACTTAAGATAATTATGGTTGTCCATTCTTCGTACAACGGAGTAATAGCGTGTTTACAAAGACAGTTTTCCCTTTTGCGTTTGCCTACAATTCCTCTTCCTACACGTACACGTACACGTACACACGGATGCATCGTACAGGCCCGCAAAATATGACGTGCTTTCTTTTCTGCATGTGCTACGGCTCTCCGCGGTACGTCAGAAACGGCATTGCAGTTGTTGTATTTACCACAAAAGAATTTGCTAATGGTTCTCGAATTCAAAAAAAGTTAAAACTGGAACAGGGAAAAAAAATTGCGTCACCTTATCGCGGTAAAGGTGAATATTGTGTAGCGCCAGCGTTTTCTTCTTTTAACAGAGTGCGTGATGAGCCACCTCGACAAAAGAACGATCTTTGGAAGAGAGACAGGACCTAGGAAGACGCTTTCTCCCTTCAGTAAGCAAGACCGATAGCCCAGTATCCGCTTTGGACGTGCTGGTGTATTTGGCGTAAATCGAAATCGGTGGGCACGAGTCACTTGACGACGGATCAGGGAAAGCAAGAAGAGAAACCAAGAAGAGAAAAAGAGTCATTTATTCGAAGACAACACAAGTCAGAAAAGAGGGAACAAACTATCCGGCGTCAGAGTGCGAAAATACTTCAAGTTTTTGGCGACCAGCCTCGTTCCTTTCTGTTCTTTCAACGGTGCTTCACAGCAACACGACAGCGAGCAGCGAGAAGGCAAACAAGTGCAAAAAAAAGAACTTGAGGCACGACTACAGAACTCACCACACCATGGAGGGGAGGGAGGGAGGGCAGGAAGGAGGGAATACATATCAGTGCGAAAACAAGTATGCATTTTGCGCTTTGCTGGTGTCGCTGCCCACTTTTGCGCCGTTCGTCCGCTACGCGGTAACAAATAGTCCGACATGCCACCAACATCGAGGAGGGGGGGGGGGAGAGGAGAGAAAGACAAAACCGTAAAATAAAAAAACTGAATCTGCCGTTTCCTTGTTCCTCCTACCAACGGTAAGGGGGGGGGGGGAGGAGCGCATCTCACCTCACGGAAAGCTGAACCACAAGACCGAGAACGAATGAGTACGCACTTAAAGGGAGAGGGGGGAGCCGCTTATCGGAACGCGTTTATGAAGTGCTGATCGGGAAAGTGACGTGAAGAAACAGAGAAACCTCCATATATATATTTTTAGTAGCTTGAAATTTTGAAAAACAAAGAATGAAGTGACGCATAGTGTTATTATTTAAAAGAAAAGAGAAATAGACTCGTTAAGTAAACACACAGGCTAAATAGCCTGACGGTGTGCCTGCACGTCTCTCCGAACACACCCTGTAGGCTTCATACGTACCTTGTAGTCACCGCAACGCCTCCTTTGCCCGAGCAGGCTGGCGGATAGCCATCAAGATTACACCACCATGCCATGACTGTTCGGTCTTGCAACATCAACATACGTGCAAGAGAACAAATAACACGTTGCTTTTATGCAAGGATGCGCACCTCCCGCCTCCGCTACGCACCTGCATGAATTGCTAAAGATACCGTTGCTCGGGGAGGAAACGCATAGAGGAAGCAGCCATGAAGTGGCCCCAATCTTTCCGTCTGGCTCTTCCACGCCAATCGACGGCAACCGCTTCAACTCACCTCCACACAACAAAGACGAGCAACGATGGAAAGCCCGGCAAAAAACATATACATACAAAAAAACCCTTCGTTTCCTTTGTTTGAAGAAACAAAAGCGTAGAAGAGTCACACACGAAGACAAACACGAAGGTCGATTTAAGAATGTAAGGAGCGTCGGGGGAGAGGGTAGAGGAGGCCTGCGCCGATTCCGCGTAGCCGCCGTGACATACACGCTTAAAGCAGAACACGACAAGAAATAACAATGATAATAATAATAACAAACAGGGAGAGGGAACGAGGGAAATAGACCGGTGTTAAATGACTTCAGGAAAGAGGGGGGAGGGGAATCGAATAAGGCAAGGAAATAGCGCAGGGAAAACAATTCAACACTCATAAGCGTAGTGGAGTGTAACACGCACACATAGCAAGAAAGAACGTAGTTGAGGATCTCCATCAGCGTCGAACACTGGAGAACGCCGCGGCGGTGATTCGCCCGCCGCCGCATCCGCATCGTCGACGTCGACAACACAAGAAATACATCGGACAGGAAAGCCAAACAATACAGAGCGAGAAACACACTCGCAAAAAGAAGAAACCAGAACAAGAAATGGAGAACTGTACAACACATCGACAACAGAGGGAAGTAATATTGAAGAAAAAGAGGAGGGGGGATGCGAGATAGGGGGGCACCAACACAACACTGTGAAAGGGAAAAAAAAACGAACAACAACATCAAGTTAGTACACAAAACTACATAAAAACAAGAAACATGAAAGAAATGGAAGATAAATTTTGCACACGATACAACATTATTCCTATAGAAGTACACCCACGCAGCGCAACCTGCGCACACGCGAGCTCCACGCCTACAGATCTCGCGAGACACGCAATAACGTGTTTCACGCTCACCACAACAAAACGGGAGGCATACATTGCTATGCAACGGGGGAGCAAAAAGCGGTCAAAAAACGGAGGGTAGAAAGATCCTCAAAGATGCTTGGAGGCTTCCGTTACGCGTAGAAACACCTGCTCAATCGACGTCTGCGACACGCTGTAGTCGGTGATGTGCAGATCCTTCTTGCTCGTCTGGAACACCTCGAAGATGTCGCCGAACCCGCGATCACGCGGCAGCTGGTACACAAAGCGGCGGCCGTCGCCCTCGTTCATCTTCGCGTCAGGGAACTCGCCCTTCATGAAAGCAACGAAGCCGTCGGCGTGTCGCGCAGAGGACAGCCGCACGCTCACCTCGAACGCGCTGCCGAACTTGTTCTTCAGGTGCACCTTGTCGCCGATGCAGCGGATATACCCGCGCACCATGATCGCGACGATGTCCGCCAGCGCCTCCACCTCCTCCAGGTGGTGCGTCGTCAGCACAACGGAGCAGTGCTTCGCCGCGCGCTGGATCGCCGTCCACATCCCGCGCCGCGCTACGGGGTCCATGCCGGCGGACGGCTCATCCAGGAACAGCACCAGCGGCCCACCCACCAGGGACATCGCCACCGACAGCTTGCGCCGGTTGCCGCCCGACAGCTCGCCCGTCACCGTCTTGCGGTACGTCGTCAGCTCGCACAGCGTGCACAGCGCATCCACCAGCGCACCCCACTGCCAACGCGCAATACCGCGGATCCCCGCGTACATCTGCAGCTGCTCCTCCACCGTCAGCAGGTCCAGCGTCCCGTCGAACTGCGGGCAGTAGCCGATGCACTGCAGCGCAGCCGCACGTTGCGTTACGATGTCGTACCCGCACACGTACGCGCTGCCCCCGGTGGGCAGGAACTGCTGACACAGCATCGATATCGTCGTCGTCTTTCCCGCGCCGTTCGTGCCCAGCAGGCCGAAGACCTCGCCGGGGAAGATGGAGAAGGTGATGCCCTTCACCGCCACGTTCCCGTTCGAGTACTTCTTCTGCAAGTTCACCACACGCACCACGTCCGTCGCGTCCTCGACGTCGCTCTCGGCCTCGTACACCGCCTCGCGCTCGTCCTCCACGTCCGAGTCTTCATCACTCGGGATAATTGGTGCCGCACCGCGCCGGTAGCGCAGACGCTGACAGAGGCTCCCCACCGCCGGGTGGTCGACCAGCAGTGTGATGATGCACAGGGCAGGGAACTCTGCCGTCATGTACACCAGCGACCACCCGAGCTGGTCCATGTCCCACACACCTGTCGCGGAGCCGATATTCACCTTGCCGGTGAGGGTCAGCAAGTTAACGATGCCCTCGCCGATGCAGTACGACGGGATGACGCGAAAGCCCCAACGCATTTTATTCGCAATACTTACATTCTCGGCGTCAAGCGAGAGGACGTAAACGATCATCAACAAAAGAAAGCCAGCAACGAAGCTCACACCCATGACAACACTTTGGGCAGTGGTGCTTTCCCGAAACAGAAAGCTGAGGCAGTAGCCGAACGCCGTGCTCGTGAAGCCGTACACGATGAACAGCACAAAAGTACCACCGACGCGATCCGGCGCGGTGAACTCCTGTCGGTTGAAGCAGGCGAATATCAAAACGCACAGCAGCATCGTGATGAAGTAGGCGGCCATGTCGAAGAGGAAGCTCGCCCCCCAGTACACAAAGAAGTTCAGCCCGCAGAGGTTCTGCAGGTGCCGCGCCCCGCACTGCCGCTCCTTCACGATCCACGCCACCGGGTTGGAGGGCAGGAAGGTGAAGGGGACCATGATCAACGCGCCGATGAAGACGAAGCTGAGCTGCGAGGTGGTGGAGGGTTTATTAAAGAGCGTTGCGGTGTACTTCATGTTGTAGGCATCGGATCCTTTGAAGTGCTTGAGGAAGAGGTCGTAAAAGGAGGCAAAGTTCAGCGCCACTTGATGATACGAGGAGCTGTTATACAGAAACACATTCACGTGGTTCCCGCGCCATGCATGCTGCCCCTGCAATGTGTACGTCATGTTCGCATCCAAGCAGGACACAGCACCGTAGCGCGGCTCTGCGTGCACATACCACGTGTCCAGCAGCATCTCCGACAACATCGCCGCCGTCTGGAAGTAGGTTTCGTTCACGGTAAAGCCTTCGTCGTACGGCTCGGTGCCCCACATCTGGTAGCAGAAGGCGGTGTCCATCACAGATCGCGGCTGCTGCCTAAACATATCGTACGTCAACGAGAGCGTCTGCGGGGTACGGTACTGCACCAGGCTCAGCAACATCGCAATCAGGATACACAGCACCGGGCACACGATCTGGAAGCACTGCATCCGACGGTCACGCAGCGCGTTCCAGAGGCGCTTCTCCATGATCGCGCGGAACTGCGACCACAGCGCAGAGGTCGTCACCTCGCAGCTCCAGATCAGCTCCACGTCGCCCTCCTCCGTTCCGCGGCCGCGGAAATCCAAGTCCTCCTCCGACACCTTCAGAAACACCTCCTCCAGCGTCGTCGCCGACAAGGCGTAGCCGCGAATACCCTCCGCCTCCACGGAGTCGATCTCGCTCAACAAGGCGGGGAACTGATCCACACTGCTGGACGGCAGCTGATAGCTCAACTCGCACCCGTTGTGCCCCAGCACCGTCGCACCCGCCACCGCGCCGAGCACCGCGTCGTCCACGCTGGCCGCGTCGATCTCGGGGTCGATGGAGATGACGATGTTGTAGCCAACGCCGAGGCGCGACTTCAGGAACAGACTGCTGCCCGTGCACTTCAGACGGCCCTGGCTCATGATCCCGATGCGGCTGCCCAGCAGGTCCGCCTCGTCCATGTAGTGCGTCGTCAGCAGCAGCGTCCGCGACTGCGCCATGCGCTTCAGCAGCTCCCACACCTGGCGCCGCGCGCCGACGTCCAGGCCGGCAGTCGGCTCGTCGAGAAACACCAGGCGGCTGCCGCCCACGAACGCGATCGCAATCGACAGCTTGCGCTTCATGCCACCAGAGAGGCGGCCGGCCGGCTGGTCCATCTTGTCCAGCAGGTCCGTCTCGAACAGCATGCCGCAGATCGCGTCCTCCAGCTCCCACCCCTTCAGCCCCTTGATCTTCCCGTAGAACTCCAGGTGGTCGCGGCACGTCAGCTCCGACCACAGGATGTTGTGCTGCGGGCAGAACCCCAGCAGCTGCCGCACAGCGCTCTTCTCCGTGCGCACAGAGTGCCCGTAGATGTAGCAGTCGCCCTCGTCCGGCTCCGTCATCCCCGTCATCATGTTCAGCACCGTCGTCTTGCCGGCGCCGTTGTGGCCCAGCAGCACGGAGATCTCGCCCTCCTGCATCCCCCAGTACAGGTTGTTCACCGCAAGGAACCTCTCACCGCCGCGCGTGTACTCCTTGCGCAGGCCGTCGAACGACACGACGTCGTCCGCGTAGTCCGTCGTCTCGAACACGCCGTTCTCCGCACGGCCGTCGGGGCCGCCCTCCAGCCGCTTGTGCTTGCGCTGGAAGCACCAGTCGATGGGGTCCAGAACGAAGAACAGCGGGTGCTTCGGCGTGCCCCACTCCTTCGGCACCACGGCGTCCAGGTAGAGCATCAGCAGGTAGTAGAGGAAGAAGTCCGCCGTCAGCATCCCGAGGATGACCGCCATCGTCGGGTCGTCGTGATGGCTGCAGAGGTCGCCGCCCCCAAAGCCTGTGCTGACTTCGTGGGTGAGAAATATTCTGAGGGCGGCGCAGAAGGCGGTGGGCGAAAAGATGGAGAAGCCGGTAACGATCGAACCTTTAGCGTTAGCCATGGCAAACATGGGAATAACAAGGATAAAGTATATCACAGGGGCGACGAGGGAGGCGAGTCGGGCCTTGCTAAAGAAGGCGGCGATGATGCCGGACAGCGGGATCGTCGTTAGCGTGAAGAGGAGAAAGATGAGCAGCAACACCAACGGGTCACTTCGGGTGCAGAAGGATAGCTGTAGCATGATGGCGGCGGCCACGGAGACGATCACGAAAAGCACCAACTGGACAACGAAGTCGCTCACGTAGAGTGTCCACTGCTTCAGGCCCATGATGAGCATCGCCTCCCGAATGCGCAGCTCCTTCTCTAGCACCGTGCGCTTCACCTGCTGCGACACCGTGTACAGGAAGGCCAGGCCGAAGACGAGTGGTAGAATTTCGCGGGGCGCCAGCAGCAGGGGGATGCGAATGTAGTGGGGGTACGCAAAGGGGGCCAGCATCTGTGTCTGAGTCGCGTTGTAAATGGAGGAGTAGTTGAGGTAGAACTCGCTCACGACCTGCTGCAGGGTGCTGAAGCCGGAGGCGACGTACACCTCGGTCGTTTCCCTGAGCGCACCGCCGGGGTAGGCAGGATCGTTGATCACGCCGAAGGAGGGCAGGGCGGAGTTGTTCATGTGGAGCACCAGGTCGAGCCCCTTCGCGTCCGCCGACCGCACTTCCACCACGGCCCAAATCTTCTTCCCGGCAGGTCGTGCGCTCCGCGCCTCCGCCACGCTGCCGTAGACAGTTGGGTCGCTAAATAACGAGAACAGGTTCGACACGTCCCGCATGTGTGCCATCAACGCACCGGTGAAGCGCTGCTCGCCAACGAAGTAGAGGGTGCCGGAGCTGGCGATGGCGTTGTAGGCGGTGATCGGGTACAGCTTGCTGACTGACATCGCGCCCAGTTGATTGACGTGGACGCTGTCGAGCTGCGCCAACATCTGGTAGGTCATGATCGAGTCGAGCGACGGCACGCGCGACATACTGTCAATGAAGGAGCTGATGAAGGCGTCGATGAGCGCGGAAAAGGGTGTGTAGGAATTACGGCAAATAGAGCGCGCAGGGAACGGCACGGCGTTGAAGTCGCCGTCGCACACGAAGTTGTACGAAACATTCATGCAGGGCGGCAGTGCCCCAATGGTGCCGTTGAAGGCGCTCATGTTCACGCACAGGTTCAGCGCTTCCGGGCTGGGAAAATAACCCAGTGCCGGCGTACCGGGCGGCACGAAGGACGCAGCAGGAAAACGCACGGTCCCCCAGATAGTCCAGAGAACGATCGTCACCGCGACGAAGATGAGCGGCACGACGATCTCCATGATCAGCGAGCAAGGCTGGCGAAAGAACTGGAGGACATGGCTCGTGATTACGGCAAAGAGTTGGTCGGGCCCGCTCACCGTACGGCGCGGCAACGACGGAGATGAGGTACCGCGGCGCGAGACACTGTGCTTGCTGCGGTACGGCCGAGTGCCGCGGTTGTTGGTGCCGTCACTGTGCTCACTAAGAGAGTAAGACTTTTCCGAGCTGAGTCGGGTGCGCTCGCTATACACGTAGAAGTCGTCGGAGTTGCTCTTACAGGAGCTGCTTTTGTGGGAACTCGGCTGGTCGAACGATCGCCGGGGATGCACCGCCGGGAATGCCTGTTCTACGGAATGTAAGCTGGACGGCCGTTGTGGTTGGGCATTGGCCGGCGCCTCGAGGTTCTTGCTCCCCCGCGGAACCTTCGTCGGTGCGCCGTTGTGAGTGCTCGCTGGTGCGCCATCCAACGCCACCCTACTCGTGTGCGGGTGATCACCGCAAGACTGCGGGAGGGGCCGTCGAATGGGCGACGGTGCCTGACCGTTGCCGGACTGCGGAGGCGGCGCAGCGGGTGGTTCTGCCTCCCATGCTTGGAAGAAACCGGCAGTGCGTGAGGTCGACGCCGCCGCCGCCGCTGCGCTGGCAGGCCGTGATGTTTGGATTGCCGGCGTGGTACTGCCCTTTCGCCCTCCGCTAACCATTTTTTCCGGTAGTGAACTGGCGCCAGCGAGCCGGGACGTCGGTGGACTTGGTTCGCGGAAGGACGTAACGGGCACACTCCCGGTGGACGCGCGCGTCATCGAGTCGACGCTGTTCCTCTTCTTGTTTTGCTCCGCGTGCGGTCTTGCTGAGGAAGCTCGTCGTTCAGTGTTGTGCACCGTCGGGATCGCGTGCGCAGCGACACCGGGCAGGGCAGATTCGGAGCTGCTGCAAAGCTCAAAGATGGTCCACACATTCGCGGACGGTTCAGAGGAGACCGCCGACGTCACGCTCTCCGGCTGCGCCGCTGCCGCACTCTCGTCGGGCATTTCCTCTTTGGTAGAGGTGTTTGGCGAAGGTAATAAAGTGGCAGGCATCTTCTTGTAATTCTATTTTTAGTCACGACAATAGACACAAGAAAGAAGAAGAAGACGGATGGAAAAAAAGGGGAAGTAGGCTACGGAGGCTGCGATGGGTCAACACGGCGACACATAGGTAGCGAACAACGATGGTTGGCGGTGAGCACAGATATAAGCGGAAATAAGGGACGAGAACAAATAATAATAATAATAATAATGCTGCCTGACTCTGCAGCTCTCAAAGTTTAAAATTCACTGAGAGGAGCCTCGTGTCCTTTTATTGTTGCCACTGCTGCTGTCGCTGTCTACGTAGAAGTAAAAAAAAAGAAGATGCGAGCCCGGAAAGCACGACCGCCTGCGACTCCCACCCGTTACCAGCAACCACGACGAGATATTTCCTTGCCTTCCGCACAGAAACCCGCCTCAGCAACGGCAGAGGAGAGAACAAGATAAGGAGACGAGAAAGAAACGCCTCTCGATATACACAAAGAAGAACAAAAGAAAACAGATCGAATCTAACTTTAAAAAAAGGTCAACAAAAAGCATAAAGAAGGTAAAGAAGGAACGGGAAGCGAACGCACCAGCGAAGTATGAGACGGCGAACTCCGCTCAAATGGAAGAGAACTGTAGGAGTGGCGATGTGCGGAAAACTGTGAAGGGGGTGCGCCGAGGAACACACACACACATACGAAAACCACAGCAGAGAAAAAGAAAGGCGCGGAAATGAGGGGAGCCCCGATGTCACGAGGGGGGAATGGGAAAGTATTGAAGGGGGTGGGAAGTGTTATTTAGAACAAAAAGAAATCTCTCTTCCTTCGGCTGCGGGTTCAAAGGACGGGTGTTTCAGCGCCGAGTTTTGGCGGCGAAAAGAAAATATATACGTAAATTAACGTGGAGGAGAGAAGGGAAAGGGGGGAGAAGAGAACTAAAAGATGAAGCACATGGGAACGAAGGTGATGCTTCTTCACTTGGCACCAACATTTGCGTCACATCAACAGTCACATCCCCGAACTTTGAATTTCGGAAACAGGCTTTCAGTGAATTTGTGATTCCGCCGCAGCAGACGCGGTAGATCGACAAGGGAGAGGTCATTCATGTTGCCGAGCCGCCGGAAGTTGTTGAGGTGAAATCCACTTTCTCTTCTGTCAAAGAACACGTCCCTCAACCGCAATCAGGAAACTTCTTTCCCCACAACACGGGAAAGAAGGGAATTCGCATGTATGAATGTTGTTGTCGCTCTTTGCACAAAGTACGGGGAGTAGTAGCAACGCAAGTCGAGTGCACTACGCAGATGAAATTCAAAAGAACCACAAATGAGCAAAAAAAGGGGGGAGCGTAATGAAGACTATTTTCTTTTCTTTTTGAAATAAGAGGGGAGGAAAGGAACTCCTACACTCTCACATGAACGTCGAGAGGACAAGAACCAAGAGGAATCGAGTGCCAAAAGATAAGAGAAATCAGATATATATACTTCAACACACCCCTCAAGCGGCACAAGCTGTCGCGCTTCACCTTCACAAGGCAGGAACACGTCACGGAGAACCACTTCCACCAATAAAAGAAAAGCCACGAAAACATACAACGTAGAAAACCAAATACCGGACGAAGCAGCGCTGGGAAACCGCAACCGCGCAGGATTGAAAAAGCTCCCAAACGTCCAAGCACAACACCCGCTCAGGTGACGATGACCCACAACTGCCGAAGATCAACACGCACACACCGTGCACCGCCACAACAAAGCAACAGCATCTGCTGAATCGGGCATTTCCACTCGTGTCGAGAGCTACAACACATCAGCCACATACAAGGAAGAAATCACAGGTGGGGAACGGAAGACAACAACCACACAAGATATGGGAGAAAAATGGTTATCTATAGCACGATAGCACAAAACGCCTTCCCTTAAAGGGAGACAAACAAAAACCACGAAGGTACACAACGATTGCTACGCCTGTGTTCATTTGCCACACGCAATCCAACTACTGAGTGAGGTGCATGGCCTCTTCACGTACGAGCAAGAATACCTGCTCAATCGACGTCTGCGACACGCTGTAGTCGGTGATGTGCAGATCCTTCTTGCTCGTCTGGAACACCTCGAAGATGTCGCCGAACCCGCGATCACGCGGCAGCTGGTACACAAAGCGGCGGCCGTCGCCCTCGTTCATCTTCGCGTCAGGGAACTCGCCCTTCATGAAAGCAACGAAGCCGTCGGCGTGTCGCGCAGAGGACAGCCGCACGCTCACCTCGAACGCGCTGCCGAACTTGTTCTTCAGGTGCACCTTGTCGCCGATGCAGCGGATATACCCGCGCACCATGATCGCGACGATGTCCGCCAGCGCCTCCACCTCCTCCAGGTGGTGCGTCGTCAGCACAACGGAGCAGTGCTTCGCCGCGCGCTGGATCGCCGTCCACATCCCGCGCCGCGCTACGGGGTCCATGCCGGCGGACGGCTCATCCAGGAACAGCACCAGCGGCCCACCCACCAGGGACATCGCCACCGACAGCTTGCGCCGGTTGCCGCCCGACAGCTCGCCCGTCACCGTCTTGCGGTACGTCGTCAGCTCGCACAGCGTGCACAGCGCATCCACCAGCGCACCCCACTGCCAACGCGCAATACCGCGGATCCCCGCGTACATCTGCAGCTGCTCCTCCACCGTCAGCAGGTCCAGCGTCCCGTCGAACTGCGGGCAGTAGCCGATGCACTGCAGCGCAGCCGCACGTTGCGTTACGATGTCGTACCCGCACACGTACGCGCTGCCCCCGGTGGGCAGGAACTGCTGACACAGCATCGATATCGTCGTCGTCTTTCCCGCGCCGTTCGTGCCCAGCAGGCCGAAGACCTCGCCGGGGAAGATGGAGAAGGTGATGCCCTTCACCGCCACGTTCCCGTTCGAGTACTTCTTCTGCAAGTTCACCACACGCACCACGTCCGTCGCGTCCTCGACGTCGCTCTCGGCCTCGTACACCGCCTCGCGCTCGTCCTCCACGTCCGAGTCTTCATCACTCGGGATAATTGGTGCCGCACCGCGCCGGTAGCGCAGACGCTGACAGAGGCTCCCCACCGCCGGGTGGTCGACCAGCAGTGTGATGATGCACAGGGCAGGGAACTCTGCCGTCATGTACACCAGCGACCACCCGAGCTGGTCCATGTCCCACACACCTGTCGCGGAGCCGATATTCACCTTGCCGGTGAGGGTCAGCAAGTTAACGATGCCCTCGCCGATGCAGTACGACGGGATGACGCGAAAGCCCCAACGCATTTTATTCGCAATACTTACATTCTCGGCGTCAAGCGAGAGGACGTAAACGATCATCAACAAAAGAAAGCCAGCAACGAAGCTCACACCCATGACAACACTTTGGGCAGTGGTGCTTTCCCGAAACAGAAAGCTGAGGCAGTAGCCGAACGCCGTGCTCGTGAAGCCGTACACGATGAACAGCACAAAAGTACCACCGACGCGATCCGGCGCGGTGAACTCCTGTCGGTTGAAGCAGGCGAATATCAAAACGCACAGCAGCATCGTGATGAAGTAGGCGGCCATGTCGAAGAGGAAGCTCGCCCCCCAGTACACAAAGAAGTTCAGCCCGCAGAGGTTCTGCAGGTGCCGCGCCCCGCACTGCCGCTCCTTCACGATCCACGCCACCGGGTTGGAGGGCAGGAAGGTGAAGGGGACCATGATCAACGCGCCGATGAAGACGAAGCTGAGCTGCGAGGTGGTGGAGGGTTTATTAAAGAGCGTTGCGGTGTACTTCATGTTGTAGGCATCGGATCCTTTGAAGTGCTTGAGGAAGAGGTCGTAAAAGGAGGCAAAGTTCAGCGCCACTTGATGATACGAGGAGCTGTTATACAGAAACACATTCACGTGGTTCCCGCGCCATGCATGCTGCCCCTGCAATGTGTACGTCATGTTCGCATCCAAGCAGGACACAGCACCGTAGCGCGGCTCTGCGTGCACATACCACGTGTCCAGCAGCATCTCCGACAACATCGCCGCCGTCTGGAAGTAGGTTTCGTTCACGGTAAAGCCTTCGTCGTACGGCTCGGTGCCCCACATCTGGTAGCAGAAGGCGGTGTCCATCACAGATCGCGGCTGCTGCCTAAACATATCGTACGTCAACGAGAGCGTCTGCGGGGTACGGTACTGCACCAGGCTCAGCAACATCGCAATCAGGATACACAGCACCGGGCACACGATCTGGAAGCACTGCATCCGACGGTCACGCAGCGCGTTCCAGAGGCGCTTCTCCATGATCGCGCGGAACTGCGACCACAGCGCAGAGGTCGTCACCTCGCAGCTCCAGATCAGCTCCACGTCGCCCTCCTCCGTTCCGCGGCCGCGGAAATCCAAGTCCTCCTCCGACACCTTCAGAAACACCTCCTCCAGCGTCGTCGCCGACAAGGCGTAGCCGCGAATACCCTCCGCCTCCACGGAGTCGATCTCGCTCAACAAGGCGGGGAACTGATCCACACTGCTGGACGGCAGCTGATAGCTCAACTCGCACCCGTTGTGCCCCAGCACCGTCGCACCCGCCACCGCGCCGAGCACCGCGTCGTCCACGCTGGCCGCGTCGATCTCGGGGTCGATGGAGATGACGATGTTGTAGCCAACGCCGAGGCGCGACTTCAGGAACAGACTGCTGCCCGTGCACTTCAGACGGCCCTGGCTCATGATCCCGATGCGGCTGCCCAGCAGGTCCGCCTCGTCCATGTAGTGCGTCGTCAGCAGCAGCGTCCGCGACTGCGCCATGCGCTTCAGCAGCTCCCACACCTGGCGCCGCGCGCCGACGTCCAGGCCGGCAGTCGGCTCGTCGAGAAACACCAGGCGGCTGCCGCCCACGAACGCGATCGCAATCGACAGCTTGCGCTTCATGCCACCAGAGAGGCGGCCGGCCGGCTGGTCCATCTTGTCCAGCAGGTCCGTCTCGAACAGCATGCCGCAGATCGCGTCCTCCAGCTCCCACCCCTTCAGCCCCTTGATCTTCCCGTAGAACTCCAGGTGGTCGCGGCACGTCAGCTCCGACCACAGGATGTTGTGCTGCGGGCAGAACCCCAGCAGCTGCCGCACAGCGCTCTTCTCCGTGCGCACAGAGTGCCCGTAGATGTAGCAGTCGCCCTCGTCCGGCTCCGTCATCCCCGTCATCATGTTCAGCACCGTCGTCTTGCCGGCGCCGTTGTGGCCCAGCAGCACGGAGATCTCGCCCTCCTGCATCCCCCAGTACAGGTTGTTCACCGCAAGGAACCTCTCACCGCCGCGCGTGTACTCCTTGCGCAGGCCGTCGAACGACACGACGTCGTCCGCGTAGTCCGTCGTCTCGAACACGCCGTTCTCCGCACGGCCGTCGGGGCCGCCCTCCAGCCGCTTGTGCTTGCGCTGGAAGCACCAGTCGATGGGGTCCAGAACGAAGAACAGCGGGTGCTTCGGCGTGCCCCACTCCTTCGGCACCACGGCGTCCAGGTAGAGCATCAGCAGGTAGTAGAGGAAGAAGTCCGCCGTCAGCATCCCGAGGATGACCGCCATCGTCGGGTCGTCGTGCGAGGAGGTGATTTCACGCCTCCCGCACCCGCTCCCCGTTTCGTGGACGAGAAACACGTTGAGCGCCGCGGCGAATCCGCTGGGCGAAAACATGGAGAAGCCGGTAACGATCGAACCTTTAGCGTTAGCCATGGCAAACATGGGAATAACAAGGATAAAGTATATCACAGGGGCGACGAGGGAGGCGAGTCGGGCCTTGCTGAAGAAGGCGGCGATGATGCCGGACAGCGGGATCGTCGTCAGGGCGAAGATGAAGAAGATTAAAAAGAGTACCATCGGGTCGCTCTTGGTAACGTACGTTGTCTTCAGCATGACGGTGCACAGAATACACGTCATGACGAAGATAAATAGCTGGACAACGAAGTCGCTCACGTACAGCGTCCACTGCTTCAGGCCCATGATGAGCATCGCCTCCCGGATGCGCAGCTCCTTCTCTAGCACCGTGCGCTTCACCTGCTGAGACACACTGTACAGGAAGGCGAGCACGTATATTAAAGGGAGGACCTCCCGCGCGTTGATCAGCAGCGGTCTACGGTAAAAGGCCGGGGTGCCCGCCGCGACAATCATCTGCGTATTGTCCATACCTGCCTTGTGAAATGAGTTGAGGTAGAACTCGGAGACAAGCTGCTGCAGGGTGCTGAAGCCGGAGAGGACGTACAGCTCGGCGGTGTCAAAGAGCACGCCACCGCTGTAGGCGTCGTCGTAGGTTGTGCCGAAGGAGGGCAGGGCGGAGTTGTTCATGTGGAGCACCAGATCGAGCCCCATCGCATCCACCTGCCGCAGCTCCACGATGGCCCACAACCGTCCGTTCTCTTTCGCTCTACTGGCTGCTCGAGCAGCGGCGACGGAGCTGTACACCGTCCTGTCTACCACGTAAGTGAACAACTTCGAGGTTTTGTCCATGTACGTGATCAGCTGGGCCGTCGCGTCGGAAGGGCCAACGAAGTAGAGGGTGCCAGAGCAGAGGATGGAGCTAAAGCGGGTGTTCGCTGCGAGACCCCCCATGGTGGCGGAGATGAGCGGGATTATCTCCTTGTACGAGGTCAGCACGGTCCACTGGAAAGAGATAAGGGCGTCCAAGGTGGGGATTGCCGTCAGCCTCCGCCAGTAGAACTGCAGCGATGCCGAAATGAGGGTCTCCCAGTTGGAGATGTACGTGTAGTTGAATCGGCAAATACGTGTGCCCTCGGGGAACGGCAGGAAGGTCGGGTCGCCATCGCAGATTACATTCGGGTTGTTCGGGCACGTCGTGAAGTACGGAAACACGCCCGTCCCTGCTGGCTGCCTAATACACGTAAAGTCGTACACAACCGGGATGGTGAGCCCGGCAGCGCCGATGGTGCTCTCTGTGACGCTAATCTCGGAGTAGTTGAGGTACTGCATCTCCTTGTTGTACTCGTTGCCCCAGATGGCCCACAGGGCGATGGACACGGCGATGAAGATGAGCGGCACGACGACCTCGAGCAGCAGATCCAACTTGCGCCGCCACAGCTGCCGCGTACTGCGCGCCACCACCGCAAAGAGTTGATCCAGAGGGGACGCAACCGCCAGGTTTGTCCTGCTCAGCGAGGAGGCGTGGCGGGAATCGCTGCGGTCGTCCTCAGTCGATATGCTTTCTACGGAACTGCTGTCCATGCTGTCGCTACCACTACTGCTACTGCTGCTACCATAGCCCCCACTGCCGTCCTCGGAGTCGCTCGAAACTTTGGGGGTGGCTGCTGCCCCGCCAGTACTCTTGCGGCGCTTCGCGTTTGGGGTGGGGGAGTCGAACTGCTTGAAGTCCACGCTGCGAAAGAGAAGGGCGTTGCGACGCTGCGTGCCGAGGCCGGCACGACGCTTCGAGGGGGAATACCAACTGGTGGTAGAGGACACGGAGTTGGACCGCGCCAGCCGTGGCGACTCCCCCTCACAACCGCCGTCGCCGCCGTCGACGGAGTAGTCGTCGGCCTCGCCATTGGAGCGGACAGAGCTTGGAAACACGTAATGTGGAAGGTGCTGTTGGGTTAGACCGTTGCGTATCAGTTGTGCAGCTGCACTATCTTCCCTCTGCGCGTCAGCGGGAAGTGAATTAACATCGAGGCGAGAAGGCACGGACTGGGTGGAGGAGATTTCCTCTCTACCTCTCTCGGCCATCTTCAAAGGAGAGCGAGAGAGAAATCAGCAGCAAGATAATACTAATAATAATAGTCGGGGCGTGGCAACTTCGCATACAACACACCGAACAAAGAAAATAAAGAGAGAGAGACGGAGAGGGGAGAAAACGAAGAACGCCAAACGGCGTGCGATGGCGGGCAGGGAAATACACAACGCGTCACTGCAAACGCCGACACCTCACAAAACGGAAAAGGGGGGAAAGAGGATGGAGGAGGGGAAGCTTTGAGTTGAATTCTTATTTGTAAAAAAGGAGAACACCGGTACACCACGCACAGTGACGGCAACACACTCAACGTAAACAAACGAAAAGTAATACTAAAAAAAAAACGACTACACACACTTCGCCAAAAGAAAAGGAATTTGAGCCGCAGAGCAGGAAGGCTCCAAAGAGGGAAAAGCGGCAGAGCGCAGAAAGTTCACAAACGAAAGCGAAGAAGCAGACACATAGAAGGAATTATTTACTCTAGCAAAACAAAAAGGGAGAAAAACGAAAACAGGAAAGCGAAGAAAGCGGCTGTTCACAGTTGAAAATAAGAAGAGAAGACTTTCAAGGTGGTGAAGAAAGCACAAAAAACAACCAAAAGAAAAAGAAAAAGACCCCAAAGCCACATGCCAAAGAGAAAACAAGCAGAAGTGAGTAAAATGTGCAGATTAGGGAAAACGAAAGAAACAAAGCGAAAAAGCTCTGAGCCAAAGAGAAGAAAAAAGAAACTCATACATTGATTTTGCTACCAAGCGCTTGAAAGCTCCTCTGCCGTGGTGTAGCGCGCTGTACGCAAGAAGCCGTGCGAAAAAAAAACAGAAATAGAGACCGAGCACAATCTGCAGGTCTGCCAGCAGACAACACCAAGCTTGAAAGTCTGTGGCGAAGCAGAAACGCTCAGCACGGCGTCGAAGCTGACTAATACAGGCACTACCCCAATCAGGAAGAAGAAGGCAAAGAAAGGCGCCCGTTTGATTGGGTGTATCAAGACAAGTCGGTACGGCCCAAAATGAGAAGGAAGCCGGTTAAAACGGAAAATAACAGTTGTATCGAAAATACCTGCCGAGAGCAGCCGCCCACCTCTTTCGGCGGCGCTTAGATTGGGAATGTGAATATGAATATCAAGAGAAAAGGCACAACTCTGCTCGGCAGAGATCTCTTGTACTGCTTTGGAAGATGAACATATATATAATATTCGTATGTGTATGTGAATGAGTACGGAATGCAGTTGTGTGAAGTGTAGCCGCGTAGGTTATCGGTGCAACGCAAGCAAAGGAGCGAAAGGGAAAGGAAAAGAAGAAAACAGACGAAAAAGTGATGATACAGGAGGGAGAGAACGCAAACAACGGAAAAAGGTTTCGAGTGCGCTGTAAGCTGAAGGCCTCCATTCGGACCTCATCAACACTTCCGTCGTGTTCGATAATAACAATAATAAGTTCACATGCTTTCAATCGTTCAGCACGTTGAGCCGTAAACCGCTTCACCAACCCTTTCCACACACACACACACACACACAGAAACGAAGAGTTGCGTGTTGGTAATCGCTGCCCAGCGACCTGTGAAGCTCCTCAAGCCGGTCAAGGATCCATCCATCCACGGCGTCCGCTGAAGGTATTGCTTCTCCTCAGCAACCGGCAAAACGAATGCGTTGGTCCTAATGCCATTCAGCACTTTCGATCACCGTACTGTCTTGATATTTTTTCTTTTGTTGTTGTTGTTTTTAGAGAGGGGTATTTTTGCGGGGAGTAATATCGTTACGCTTCATAAACTGTTATCAGCTTCGATACGTGCCGCCTGCGAGTGTGTGCAGAAACGAAAAAGCGAAAGATGCCGCTTCGACCCCGCTGTGTGCGTGTGTGAGTGTGCGCGCGGCACCGCCTTCTTCTCTTGCGTGTTTGCTTTCCTTTTCTGGTCAGCGTCCCCACGCTAGTCCGAGATAGCGTGCCACTCCAAAATAGCGCCCACGATTGAAAAAGAAAGGACGAGTAAAGCAAGAACAATGAAATGAAAAAAACAAAGAGAGATCGTCAAGTGCTCCGCAATAACAATGAAAATGATTGTTTGCTTTGAAAACAGCTAAAGAAAGAGAGGAGGAGGAACCACCACCAACCAACAAAACAAGAAAACGTCGATGAGGGAAATAATAATAATAATAATAATAATAATAAAGAAGCGTATGTGCGTTCCAACATGCGCTTTGCAGTCACATCCCTTTTGTATCAACAGTGTCAGCAAAGGAGACTACCAATGAACCGCAGGCGAAGTCGCATGGAGGGTACATCGCACGACAGCGTACCGATAGAAGCCTAGACCTCATCGCGCCACAGCACGATTCGAAGAAGACCACGCCGCCTTGTTCAGTTCATTGTCCAAAGGAATGTATTACATATAAAGATATCAACAAGAAAAACACATATACTTATTGTGTTGCCAAGATAATCTACAGTAATAATCCGGTAAAACACTACAGGAAAAGGAAGCGTTCGATACAATTCGCACATCTCCCCCGTATCTACAGCCACCAATACCACACACGCCAACACAAAAAAAGGCCAATTATTGAAAGAACGAAAGCACTCACAATCGACGTGACGCCGGAGCTCACGCCTCTGATTCACGATCCGCGGCCCGCTTCACCACCTGTAAAAAGATTTGCTCAATCGACGTCTGCGACACGCTGTAGTCGGTGATGTGCAGATCCTTCTTGCTCGTCTGGAACACCTCGAAGATGTCGCCGAACCCGCGATCACGCGGCAGCTGGTACACAAAGCGGCGGCCGTCGCCCTCGTTCATCTTCGCGTCAGGGAACTCGCCCTTCATGAAAGCAACGAAGCCGTCGGCGTGTCGCGCAGAGGACAGCCGCACGCTCACCTCGAACGCGCTGCCGAACTTGTTCTTCAGGTGCACCTTGTCGCCGATGCAGCGGATATACCCGCGCACCATGATCGCGACGATGTCCGCCAGCGCCTCCACCTCCTCCAGGTGGTGCGTCGTCAGCACAACGGAGCAGTGCTTCGCCGCGCGCTGGATCGCCGTCCACATCCCGCGCCGCGCTACGGGGTCCATGCCGGCGGACGGCTCATCCAGGAACAGCACCAGCGGCCCACCCACCAGGGACATCGCCACCGACAGCTTGCGCCGGTTGCCGCCCGACAGCTCGCCCGTCACCGTCTTGCGGTACGTCGTCAGCTCGCACAGCGTGCACAGCGCATCCACCAGCGCACCCCACTGCCAACGCGCAATACCGCGGATCCCCGCGTACATCTGCAGCTGCTCCTCCACCGTCAGCAGGTCCAGCGTCCCGTCGAACTGCGGGCAGTAGCCGATGCACTGCAGCGCAGCCGCACGTTGCGTTACGATGTCGTACCCGCACACGTACGCGCTGCCCCCGGTGGGCAGGAACTGCTGACACAGCATCGATATCGTCGTCGTCTTTCCCGCGCCGTTCGTGCCCAGCAGGCCGAAGACCTCGCCGGGGAAGATGGAGAAGGTGATGCCCTTCACCGCCACGTTCCCGTTCGAGTACTTCTTCTGCAAGTTCACCACACGCACCACGTCCGTCGCGTCCTCGACGTCGCTCTCGGCCTCGTACACCGCCTCGCGCTCGTCCTCCACGTCCGAGTCTTCATCACTCGGGATAATTGGTGCCGCACCGCGCCGGTAGCGCAGACGCTGACAGAGGCTCCCCACCGCCGGGTGGTCGACCAGCAGTGTGATGATGCACAGGGCAGGGAACTCTGCCGTCATGTACACCAGCGACCACCCGAGCTGGTCCATGTCCCACACACCTGTCGCGGAGCCGATATTCACCTTGCCGGTGAGGGTCAGCAAGTTAACGATGCCCTCGCCGATGCAGTACGACGGGATGACGCGAAAGCCCCAACGCATTTTATTCGCAATACTTACATTCTCGGCGTCAAGCGAGAGGACGTAAACGATCATCAACAAAAGAAAGCCAGCAACGAAGCTCACACCCATGACAACACTTTGGGCAGTGGTGCTTTCCCGAAACAGAAAGCTGAGGCAGTAGCCGAACGCCGTGCTCGTGAAGCCGTACACGATGAACAGCACAAAAGTACCACCGACGCGATCCGGCGCGGTGAACTCCTGTCGGTTGAAGCAGGCGAATATCAAAACGCACAGCAGCATCGTGATGAAGTAGGCGGCCATGTCGAAGAGGAAGCTCGCCCCCCAGTACACAAAGAAGTTCAGCCCGCAGAGGTTCTGCAGGTGCCGCGCCCCGCACTGCCGCTCCTTCACGATCCACGCCACCGGGTTGGAGGGCAGGAAGGTGAAGGGGACCATGATCAACGCGCCGATGAAGACGAAGCTGAGCTGCGAGGTGGTGGAGGGTTTATTAAAGAGCGTTGCGGTGTACTTCATGTTGTAGGCATCGGATCCTTTGAAGTGCTTGAGGAAGAGGTCGTAAAAGGAGGCAAAGTTCAGCGCCACTTGATGATACGAGGAGCTGTTATACAGAAACACATTCACGTGGTTCCCGCGCCATGCATGCTGCCCCTGCAATGTGTACGTCATGTTCGCATCCAAGCAGGACACAGCACCGTAGCGCGGCTCTGCGTGCACATACCACGTGTCCAGCAGCATCTCCGACAACATCGCCGCCGTCTGGAAGTAGGTTTCGTTCACGGTAAAGCCTTCGTCGTACGGCTCGGTGCCCCACATCTGGTAGCAGAAGGCGGTGTCCATCACAGATCGCGGCTGCTGCCTAAACATATCGTACGTCAACGAGAGCGTCTGCGGGGTACGGTACTGCACCAGGCTCAGCAACATCGCAATCAGGATACACAGCACCGGGCACACGATCTGGAAGCACTGCATCCGACGGTCACGCAGCGCGTTCCAGAGGCGCTTCTCCATGATCGCGCGGAACTGCGACCACAGCGCAGAGGTCGTCACCTCGCAGCTCCAGATCAGCTCCACGTCGCCCTCCTCCGTTCCGCGGCCGCGGAAATCCAAGTCCTCCTCCGACACCTTCAGAAACACCTCCTCCAGCGTCGTCGCCGACAAGGCGTAGCCGCGAATACCCTCCGCCTCCACGGAGTCGATCTCGCTCAACAAGGCGGGGAACTGATCCACACTGCTGGACGGCAGCTGATAGCTCAACTCGCACCCGTTGTGCCCCAGCACCGTCGCACCCGCCACCGCGCCGAGCACCGCGTCGTCCACGCTGGCCGCGTCGATCTCGGGGTCGATGGAGATGACGATGTTGTAGCCAACGCCGAGGCGCGACTTCAGGAACAGACTGCTGCCCGTGCACTTCAGACGGCCCTGGCTCATGATCCCGATGCGGCTGCCCAGCAGGTCCGCCTCGTCCATGTAGTGCGTCGTCAGCAGCAGCGTCCGCGACTGCGCCATGCGCTTCAGCAGCTCCCACACCTGGCGCCGCGCGCCGACGTCCAGGCCGGCAGTCGGCTCGTCGAGAAACACCAGGCGGCTGCCGCCCACGAACGCGATCGCAATCGACAGCTTGCGCTTCATGCCACCAGAGAGGCGGCCGGCCGGCTGGTCCATCTTGTCCAGCAGGTCCGTCTCGAACAGCATGCCGCAGATCGCGTCCTCCAGCTCCCACCCCTTCAGCCCCTTGATCTTCCCGTAGAACTCCAGGTGGTCGCGGCACGTCAGCTCCGACCACAGGATGTTGTGCTGCGGGCAGAACCCCAGCAGCTGCCGCACAGCGCTCTTCTCCGTGCGCACAGAGTGCCCGTAGATGTAGCAGTCGCCCTCGTCCGGCTCCGTCATCCCCGTCATCATGTTCAGCACCGTCGTCTTGCCGGCGCCGTTGTGGCCCAGCAGCACGGAGATCTCGCCCTCCTGCATCCCCCAGTACAGGTTGTTCACCGCAAGGAACCTCTCACCGCCGCGCGTGTACTCCTTGCGCAGGCCGTCGAACGACACGACGTCGTCCGCGTAGTCCGTCGTCTCGAACACGCCGTTCTCCGCACGGCCGTCGGGGCCGCCCTCCAGCCGCTTGTGCTTGCGCTGGAAGCACCAGTCGATGGGGTCCAGAACGAAGAACAGCGGGTGCTTCGGCGTGCCCCACTCCTTCGGCACCACGGCGTCCAGGTAGAGCATCAGCAGGTAGTAGAGGAAGAAGTCCGCCGTCAGCATCCCGAGGATGACCGCCATCGTCGGGTCGTCGTGATGGCTGCAGAGGTCGCCGCCCCCAAAGCCTGTGCTGACTTCGTGGGTGAGAAATATTCTGAGGGCGGCGCAGAAGGCGGTGGGCGAAAAGATGGAGAAGCCGGTAACGATCGAACCTTTAGCGTTAGCCATGGCAAACATGGGAATAACAAGGATAAAGTATATCACAGGGGCGACGAGGGAGGCGAGTCGGGCCTTGCTAAAGAAGGCGGCGATGATGCCGGACAGCGGGATCGTCGTTAGCGTGAAGAGGAGAAAGATGAGCAGCAACACCAACGGGTCACTTCGGGTGCAGAAGGATAGCTGTAGCATGATGGCGGCGGCCACGGAGACGATCACGAAAAGCACCAACTGGACAACGAAGTCGCTCACGTAGAGTGTCCACTGCTTCAGGCCCATGATGAGCATCGCCTCCCGAATGCGCAGCTCCTTCTCTAGCACCGTGCGCTTCACCTGCTGCGACACCGTGTACAGGAAGGCCAACGCGAAGATCAACGGCACTGCTTGCCGAGCGTTCACCAGCAGAGGGACGCGGGTGAAGGCCGCGGAGGGGACGGAGCCAATGTAGAAGGGTTGGCTAACGTTGACACCAGTGAGTACTGTTAAGTAGTAGTCGGATATGGTCTTCTGCAGCGTCAGGAAGCCAGAAACGACGTACAGCTCCACGGAGTCGTACTCCGCCCCACCGGCGTAGCTCGGGGTGTAGGTTGTGGAGAAGGAGGGCAGGGCAGAGTTGTTCATGTGGAGCACCAGGTCGAGCCCATTTTCGTCCATCTGTCGTAGCTCCACGACGGCCCACAGCCGCTTGCCCTCCGCGGCGGCAAATGCGTCCTCGACTGACCTGTAGGCTATCCTGTCACTCACGTAGGTGAACAACGAAGATGTAGCTGCAAAGTGGGAGATGAGCCGCTCCGTGTGGAGCGCCGGTCCTACGAAGTACACGTTGCCGGAGGACAAGACGGAGCTGTAGCGTGTATTGCGTCGAATGCCGCTCAAGGAAAAGGCCGCCATCTTGTGTATCGGCTCTCCCGCGGCTAACGCAATCCACTGCATCTTGATGACCACATCGAGCGTGGCGATCATGGACACGTATCCGAGATAGCGACGAATGTCGTAGACGGTCACCGCCGCCCAGCTCAGTCGGTCCGTTATGCAGAGAACCACGTCGTGTAGAGGAATGTGCGTCATATCTGCGTCGCATTTAAAGTGCATGTCATTGAAGCCTTCGCGGCACATATGAAAGGTGCCGATCGGCTCCCGATAGCGCCCGTCCAGGGAGCGGAAGCACATCGCCGTCTCATCCGTGAAGCCGTACGGCACCGCCTTTGTGCCGTACTCGCTTGCGATTCTGTAATTCTCGTAAAACACTTCGGAGGCGTGCGAGGATCCCCAGAGGGCCCATAGCACAACGGAAATGGCCACAAAGACGAAGGGCACGACCAGCTCCACGAAAAGGTCTGGCTTGCGTCGGTACAGCTGCCGTGTCGAGCGCTCGAGTAACGCCAGCAGCGGTCCCACCGTCGAAGTCTTCGACGGGTGCTCGTCTTCTCGAAAGGCCGCCTTTGCTGCTGCCACAGCACTTGCGGAGTGGTTCGAGGCAGTCACGATGGAATGCGAGCTCGCCAAGGACACCAAACTTTCGTGCGGATGCAGTTCGAACTGGGTAATGTCTGCGATGATCGGTGGCGGTGAGGAGCCACATGGGCTGCGTGCCAGTCCATCCTCGAGCGTGTTCGTCGTGGCTCGCGTAGCCACTGATGCGACGGAGGGCGCGGGAGCACTTATCGCCTGCCAGAGTCGAGGCTGTGACCCCTCTTCCTCCGTCGCGCGCCGGATGTTGTTCTCCTTTTCCGGCGTCGACGGTGGGAAGGGCTCGTCCTGGGGACACCTCATATTATGTTCCTTGCGTTCTGTCTTTGTTCAAATCTTAATACGAGCTGCGTCCTCCTCTTTTCAGCAGAGGGCCGTTGAGCGCCAACGACAAATTAACTTTCACGTTTGGTAGCACTTGGATAAACCAAAACACAGGATGCCCTTCAACTGTTTAAAAGAAAAAAAACGAGATGCTATAGAACAGAGCTGAAGCTTCAAACCAAAATGCTGACGAAAGACCTCTGTTAGCACTCGCAAAAGCAGAAACAACGAACCCTACCGAAAGAAATGCAAGAGAAAGCACGGGAAGAGCGCCAGCGAACAAAAGAAAAAAGATTATGCTGACCTACCAAATTTATAAATTAATAAGGGCGAAATCGGTGTTCGCGCAGCTGCAATGATGGTAGAAAAAAAAACAGCAGAGAATGTAGAAGATACGAGACGGAGAGAAGAAGAAAACCAAACGAGAAACCTCCAAAAAAAAAAGGTCACTGGCACGCAAATCAACCCCGGTGCACAGCCGTGCGACGATGTGAGGGAGTTGGTGTGAGGAAAAAGATAGCGTAACAATGAGGCACCGGCGCGATCTACAACTCAAAAAAGAAGATAAGTCAACTCACTGCTTTGGCGATTGCAAAAACTACCGAAGTGGGCGGTTCAAAATCTAGTCGGAGAAGGAGGAGAGGAAAGGAAAGAGCTCCTCTTTCAATTTCCGTATGTATATATATGTGCGCGCAGCCTATGTCAAAGGCCGCAGAGTTAATTTCCAAAAAATAGCATATATCAAGACTGTCAGCGCCGTTAGCCAGAAGAAAATGACGAATGGAAAGGAGGAGCCCGAGACGGTGACGACCTCCAACAGATATCAATAAAACGGGGGAAGGAAAAGACGGAGCGACGGATGAAGTAAGCGTTTTCTTCTTATGAAGAAATATGACAGGTCGTTGATAACTTTAAAAGAAAGAAAGTCTGTACACATCAAAGCAAAACAGCAAGAGATGAAATGAATACAAGTCGCTTATCTTTCCGTACGCGACAAACAAACGTCGGTTGCCTCGTTGAACGCAACCGCTGCAGAGAAATAACAATGGAAAGGCAAATGGAGGTACGATACCGCGGCGAGTCAGGAAGAGGAACACAAGTAGAAGACAAACAAATTCAAAAAGGCCTCCAAAAAGAAGAGAACTTCTCGAAAGAGAGAAGAGGAAGACAGAAGAAGAAAAAAAAGAGCAAAGATCTCAAAGAAAGCGCACTGGCCTTTTCTTGAATCGCTAATGCTGTTGTTTATTTTTAAGACGAGAAAAAAAAAAGAATTACTTTTGCTGCCGTAATTCTCGTGGATGTACAACGCGTTCCGGAAAGAAAAAAAAGAGAAGAGAAGAGAAAAAAACACGAAGCCACAAGAAAGTCAACATGAGAAAATGTTGGCTGTCAATTCGTTAAAGAAAAGAGTGCGTGGTGGAGACACGCGCTCGTCCCACGCACACAAACACCACTGCTTCTCCTGCCGTTGTAGGATCAGAAGAAGAAAAAAAAAAGAGAGTAGAGAAGGAGTCAAGTGCGATGCTGTGTTATTGTTGTTTTATTTTTGTATTTCAGCTAGAGGGGGAGGAAGGAATGAAAACACACGGCAAGCGAACCTCAAAATAATTTAAAAAATAAAAAGAGACCTTATTCAACGTGGTAACTCGAAATGAAACGGAATGAAAGAATATAACGTCGATGCTTGGAAGACGGAAAGACACAAGCAAGCAAACACAGAAAAGAAAAAAGAATGAGATATCCGTAACGCGGCTTGTCGAGGTGGGACAAGGAAAGCATCTACTAGAGGAAAGAAACAAAAGGCGGCGTTGGATGGGGGGGGGGGGGGGGTCGACCCCGAACAACCGGTGCAAAGCCACGACGAACGTGGATCGATATGACTCAAGACCGCACCGACGTTAAAGTGCCCGGTAAGCAAGGAATAACGATGACTGATTAATGGGGAGACAGAAGAGAGGAGAGAACAGAAGAGAAAGAGATGTACTTCACAACTCTTTGCGGTGCAAGTCTGTTCCTCTGTGTGTGTGTTTTTGGTTTTGTTTTCACGCTATTTTTGGTTGTTTGTGTCGACAACGTGTGTATGTGGGGAGAGGGGGGAGGGGGGGGGGGGCTCTGATTGTTTTCTTTTCAAGGGAAACGATGTACAGAGGGAGAAGAGACAAAAGGGGGGGGGAATGTGCCGATGTGGCGCCCGCTGCGTTACCTTGCGGTTGATGGACTCGCGCATACAGTAACAATAAGAAGCAGAGTGACGCTCCAGTGGGGCGCACGTTTTTTGGGCGTCGCGTTCACTGGTTATATATGTTTTTATAAGACTTTTTATTGTTTGCTGTTGAGAAGTCTATGCAGATTACGCGGTAGAGAGCGCAGATCTGAGAGGGGGTGAGAGAATGAGGAGAAGGAGAAGGAAAGGTGAAGAACAGCTGGAGAGCACGTTTTCTCGCGGGAAGCACGCGGGTGGGTGAGCGCTCGTTGCGAGGGTGCAATCACGCGGAAAGGAATGTGCGGATGCTCTGCTTACAAAGCAGGCGTGTCCGTATAGCATTTGCATGGGAGTCTTTTGTTTTCCTGCAGACTCCGCTGGAATGTTCCGACTGCTGCATTTGGGTCGGGAAACCCGGGCGAGTGCTCCTTGCCTACGCCGCAAGCACTCCGTGTGAAGAGGGAAAGAGAGGCGACGCCCCGACAACGCATTATCTCTTCTCCTTTTCTTTCTGGATTGTTTGTTTGGCGTTACTATTATCACCCTTCGTCAAAAGCACTGACGACAAATCCAAAGAGGAAAAAAATAAGAAAAGAAGAAAACGGCTACGCACATCGATGGCACGCCGTTTCTGCAAAAACGCACCCGCACAAGCATCTACGAAGCAGTGCGTCCTCCAAGAGGAGGAGGAGGGGGGAGGAGCAAAAGAAGAGCCAGCACACCCCTTCCGCAGCGAGAGATTCGATTTGCACTTTTCAAAGCCTTGGGTATACAAATAATAAAAGAAATAGTGACAGTACCCGTGTTGAAGGGGAAAGGAAGAAAAATATCAGAAATGCGTGCCAGTCGTGGCGAAAGAAAGGCATTCATTTGAGGAGACATCAAACGTCCTTCAATGCAGGGGAGGCGGACAGTAAATGAACGTGTACGCGCGAGGTGGCCACTCGCATCCGCCAGTTCTCTTCACATCCTCTAAACGTTCAACACCGACACGAGCCCCGTGCATACAATACATCAAACCCAGTGACTAAATAAAACGAATTGAAACATAGAGGGGTGCATCCTCTTTCCTCGCATTACTACCCTTTTTAAGTGCAACACGTGCACTTGCAGCATCCCTTGTCCGCCTGGTCGAGCCGCTCTGTCTCCTCCGCCTCGTGGCGGCGCTCTGCCTCCTCGCTGATCTGCAGGAAGACCTGCTCAATTGACGTCTGCGAGACGTTGTAGTCCTTCGCCGCGATCTCCTCCGCGTGCTCCTCCATCAACTTGAACGTCCGCGAAAGCTTCGTCGTGCCGGGGAGCTCGTAGGTGAAGCGGCGAGCGCGGTACTCGCGCAGCGTGCTGCCTGGAAATCTCGTCGCGAAGAAGCTCTCCACGCCCTTTCGCACATCTTCGCTGTCGCTCTGCACGCGCACGTTCACCTCGAAGCCCGTCGCGTACTTCTGCTTCAGGTGCGTCTTGTTGCCGATACACTGCAGCGCGCCGTCCACCATGATGGCGACGCGGTGGGCGAGTGCCTCCACCTCCTCCAGGTGGTGCGTCGTCAGCACGACGGAGCTGTTGTCCGCCACCTTCTCAATCGCATTCCACAGGCCACGCCGCGCCACCGGGTCCATGCCGGCAGACGGCTCGTCGAGGAAGACCACGCTCGGCCCGCCAATCAAGGACAGGGCGACCGAGAGCTTGCGCCGGTTGCCGCCGGACAGTGCGTGCGCCAAGGTGTGTTGGTAATCCCTCAGCTCACACAGCTTGAGCAGCCCCTTGACGACGCGCCTCCGTTCCTTGTACGAAATCGCGCGCACACCGGCGTACAGCTCAAGGTGTTCCTTCACGGTCAGCAGGTCCAGCGTGGCGTCGAACTGCGGGCAGTAGCCGATGCAGCGCAGCGCCTCCCGGCTGTCCTCCACAATATCGTTGCCGCATACCGCCGCGTGCCCGCTCGTGGGGTAGAACTCCTGACACAAGATGGATATCGTCGTCGTCTTGCCGGCGCCGTTCGTGCCGAGGAAGCCGAAGACCTCACCAGGATGCACGCCGAAGGTTAGGTTCCGCACGGCGATTTTGCCGTTCGCATACACCTTGCGCAGCGCCGCCACGCGCACGAGGTCCGACGCACGCTCTGGGTTGTCGAGGACGTCGCTGCGTTCCGCGATGACGTCCTCGTCCTCATCGGGAATCTGCTCCGGTGCCGCGTCGGGGTTGTGGAAGAGCCGCTGACTGCGCTGCCGTCGGCCGGGGTGGTCGATGAAGAGCGTCACAAAGACGTAGAAGGGCACCTCGATCGCCATGTACACGCAGGGCCAACCGATCACCGACATGGACCACGGCGTCTTATCCGTCCCGTACGCCTGCTCGAGCTTCAGGATGGCCAAGTTGCTGATGCCCTCGCCCACGCAGTACGACGGCACCACGCGGAAGAACCATCGCAGCACCTTCGCCACGTTCTTCGTCGAGTCCATGACGGAGAGCATCGACACACACAGCACCAGCAAAAAGCCGGCAATGAAGTTGGCCAGCATCACAATGTTCTGCGCGGTGGAGTGCTCCTTGAAGGCGAAGCTGATGGCGTAGGCCATCGCCACACCCGATAGACCATAGAGAAAGAAGAGCACAATCGTAGGACCAATCGTGGTGCGGCCGACGTACTCTTTGCGGCTGAAAATGCAAAACACGATGATGACGAGGAACATGGTAATGACGTAGCAGCACAGGTCGAAGAGAAAGTTCGTGACCCAGTACACGGAAAAGAAGAGGCCGGAGACGTTCTGCAGGTGCC